CAAACTTGTGGCATGAGAAACTTGGTCACATGAACTTCAAGGACTTGGTAAGACTCCCAAAGAAAGAAGTGTTAAAGGACTACCAAAACTTGAACTTCTAAAAGGTAATGTGTGTGGTCCATGTCAACATGGTAAGCAAACTAGAATATCTCATAAAGCTTTGTCAAATCTCAATACCTCACGTGTTTTGGAATTGCTCCATATGGATCTAATGGGTCCTATGCAAGTTGAGAGTTTGGGAGGTAAAAGGTTGTGTTTGTTTGTGTTGATTATTTTTCAAGGTATGCTTAGGTTGATTTTTTGCATGAGAAATTTGATTCCTTCAATGCATTTTAAAAATTGGCTAAAAGGCTGCTTGTTGGGAAGAGTTCAAAGGCTACAAAAATTGTGAGAATTGGGAGTGACCATGGAAAGGAATTTGAGAATACTGATTTTGCAAATTTTTGTGATGTACAGGGCATATTCCATGAATTTTCAACATCAAAAACACCTCAACAAAATGGTGTTGTGGAAAGGAAAAACAGAGTGCTTCAAGAGATGGCTAGGGTGATGCTTAATGCCAAAAAGCTTTCTACAAGACTTTGAGCAGAAGCCATTAACATGACATGTCATATTTCCAACAGAGTTTACCTTAAAAAATGTACTATTCAAATTCCCTATGAGCTGTGGAAAGGTAAGAAACCTAATTTCTCTTACTTTCATGTCTTTGGATGCAAATGTTACATCTTGAATGATAGAGAAAATTTAGGTAAGTTTGATTCTAGGAGTGATGAACGAGTTTTTATTGGATATTCTTCCAATAGCCGTGCATTTAGGATTTATAACATGCATTTTGAAAAAGTCTTAGAATCCATTAATGTTGTGTTTAGTGATGCAGAAGATTTTCCAAAATATTCTCAAGAATATAAAATTCAAGACAAATTTGTTCCTCGTGTGCCCACACAATATGGTGTGAACGCTTCTGAATCTCCTGAACCTAAACCTTCGTCAAATGTGTTATCACCTACTTTCGATGCTACAACAACAGGATCCGCTCCATGCAAAAAATCATCTGTTGATTCATCATTGCAAAATGAAGGGATAGAGCTGGTTGTTAATCTTTCTAATGAAAACATTCAAAGGAGAAATCAAAGAAGAAAAGATCCACCAACATGGGTTCAAAAAGCTCATCCACCTTCAATCATGATTGAAGATCCAAATGAGGTCATGGTTACAAGAAGGAGAAGACAAATGAAATTAACTATCTTTGTTATATGTCTCTTGCAAAGTCGAAGAATGCCAAACAAGCTTTGAAAGATGAAAATTGGATTGAGGCGATGCAAGAAGAACTGGAACAATTCAAAAGAAATGATGTTTGGACACTTGTACCAAGACCAGAGGGAATTAACATAATAGGTACCAAATGGGTTTTCAAAAATAAAACTGATGAGTTTGGTAGTGTTGTTAAGAACAAAGCTAGGCTTGTAGCCCAAGGATATACTCAAGTTGAGGGAATTGATTTTGATGAAACCTTCACACCCGTTGCTCGACTTGAATCAATCCGTCTACTGCTTTCTGTTGCCTGCCATCTCAAGATAAAATTGTTCCAAATGGATGTCAAAAGGGCCTTCTTGAATGGGATGCTCATCGAAGAAGTGTATGTTGAACAACCGATTAGCTTTCAAGACCCCCACAAACCTAATCATGCATTCAAATTGAAGAAAGCTCTTTATGGTTTGAAACAAGCCCCACAAGCTTGGTATGAAAGGTTGACAACTTTTCTTCTTGAGCATAACTATGAACAAGGTAATGCCGACAAAACCCTCTTTATCAAGCGTGCTAACAATGAAATCTTATGTGCACAGATTTATGTTGATGATATTGTGTTTGGTTCTACATCTCATTCACATGCACTTGAATTCATTAGTCTAATGAAAAATGAGTTTGAGATAAGTATGGTAGGGGAATTGAATATGTTTCTTGGTCTTCAAATTAAACAAATGAATAATGGCATGTTTGTTTCCCAATCAAAGTGTGCTAGAAACATGTTGAAAAGATTTTGTCTTGAGAATGCAAAGCATGCTAAAACTCCTATGAGTGTTACCCTTAAGTTATGCAAAGACGAAAATGGTAAAAAGATAGACAACAAAATGTACCGAAGCATGATAGGAAGTCTTCTTTACTTAAGTTGACCTGATATTTGCTTTAGTGTTGGTGTTTGTGCAAGATTTCAAACTAATCCATCCGAGTTGCACTTGAATGCAGTGAAAATAATCATGAAATATGTTTCAGGTAAGTGTGATTTTGGGCTTTGGTACTCATTTGATTCTAACAGTTGTTTGGTTAGATATAGTGATATGGATTGGGCAGGAAGTTTGGATGATTGAAAGAGCACTTCAGGTGGATGTTTCTATCTTAGAAACAATATTGTCACATGGTACAGCAAGAAGCAAAATGCAATCTCCCTATCTACTGTTGAGACTGAGTACATTGCCGCAGGGAGTTGTTGCACTCAAATTTTATGGTTAAAGCAAATGTTGAATGATTATGGTGTTGATCAAGATTGTATGATGATTTTTTGTGATAACATGAGTGCTATTAACATCTCAAAGAATCCAATCTAGCATTCTAGGACTAAGCAGATTAACATAAGACATCATGTCATTAGAGAGTTAATTGAGGAAAACATCATTGCACTTGCTCATGTGAACACAAAATCCCAGTTGGCTAATTTATTTACAAAAGCACTTGACCGTGATACTTTTATTTTCTTGAGGAAGTCCATTGGACTACATCAACTTGAATAGTTTTTCATTTCAGTTAATGAATAAAGCATGAACATGCTACTTTTATTTTTGTTTATCAAGACTCCTTAATCTGTGCTAGCACTCTAATTGTCATTTATTTTCTCTTGTCTATGTGCTAACTCTGGTATGTTGTGTTCACTAAGACTCTGTTGATTGTCTATTCTTGTCACCATCTTGAAAGAGCTACCTTGTATGAAGTGTGAAAGTTGTTTTGAGTAATTTTCTGATTTGTAGAGACCCTATATTTTGGAAAATCTACCATTAAGAAGACTACCTTCTTGCAAGTGTGAAAGCTACATTTTGGTTACGTTTATGAGAGTTACTTGCCCTTTAATCAAAATGAAAAGAAAAATCTTTATTTTCTATGCTGAAAAAGAAAAATGCAAAATATAGTTGGGCATGAGGGAAGGGGGAGGTTCCCTTGCAAAATTTAAAATTGACCAATGTGTCATTTTACCCCCTTGAAGACACTATCACACTGAGACAAGCTCTTGGAAATTTATCTCACTTGTGTGTGATTGAGAAAGTGTTGTTTTGATTGTATTGTGTTGACAACTTCTGTAAGAGTTTTTGTGCTTTTTAAGATTGAAAATTTTGATTTATTAGGATGAATTGCACAGATTGACTATCTTGGCCCTCAAAAATTTATGTGAAGCATTTCATCATTTAATTTTATGCTTTTAAAAATTTGTTTCAATAAAGTCTAGTCTTTTGAAAAATTTCTGATGATCTTTTGGAATGTTGTGTGCTCACACAATTGCATATGTACACTCATTTAGGATAGAGTTCTATTTTTGGTATAACTCTTTTTTAGCCCCTCAGAATCACCGCCTACCATAAATGTGTTGTCCTAATATCTTTTGCGTCAATCTTCATTTTCTAAATCCCTAATAGCGCCGACTATTTTTTCTGTTCCTCACAATATTTCTCTCAAAATTTTACTGATTTTTCTTTGTTTTCTCACATGGATTCAAGAAAGAAAGGCCATGGAGGAATCACTCAAGAAGGGATTTCAAAACGTGAAGAAATCCAGTAAAAAAAAGGTGATGAAGGAGAAAAAGCCACCAGAGTCTAATTCTGCGACACCAGAAGAGTTCTATGAGGAAGAGACCAGTCATTCATCCTCACTTGTTTCTTCCCCCGTTTCCAGTGATAACCGGGACTCCATGCGCTCACAGAAGGAGTCTATGTCTACCTCGCCTGAGAAGTCGCCTGAAAAATCCTCTTTGGTGTCGGACAACGCCTCAGACAACACTCCGATAGCCACTCTGAAATCGCAAAAAGAAGATTCTTCAAAAGCCACACCTTTAAAGCCTCTAGCTCCAACAGAGTGGGCAAAAAAGAAAGGAAAAGCTATTATGAAGGAGCCTGTGACTAGTAAAATCTCTCCTGTTGTTTTACTTGCTGCTGAGATTAGATTTAGGAGCCACATTGTCAAGAAGACAATTGTGAGCAAAGCAAATGTTAGGCTAGAAGATTTTGATGAATTCCATGCAATGATGAAGGAAAGGAATTGGTTAAGAATTGTCACTGGTTTGACTGCCCCTGTCCAAACTCTTGTTCAAGAGTTTTATGCCCATTTTGGCTTGGACAATGTTGAACCAAATTCAAATAAACACAATGATAAAGTTTATGTTAGAGGACATTGGGTCTTATTTACGAAGGATGTTGTTAGGGATGGTCTTGGTTTGAAGAAAGCAAAAAGAACTTTGATTTGAAGAGTTTAGACTTAGACAAAATTGTCAAAGTGATAATTGGTGGTTCAATAGCCGTTTGGCCGAGAATTAGTGTTATTTAACATGGTGTGCTCTCACCATTTTACAGACTATTGTTTAAAATCTCATTGCCAAATTGGTGTCCTTCTATGCACAATTCAACTGCTAGACCTGAACAAGCACAACTCTTTTATAGGATTGCTCAAAAGAAAAAGATTAATTTGGCTGAGTTGATTTTCACGAGTGTTAGAGTTGTAGCGCAATCAACTCATTCTCTGCAGATTTTGTGTTTTCGTTCTTTAATCTACAAGATCATTTCCACTTACAAGCCTAAATCCTATGAAGTGGAACCCGTTTTGAAGATAAAGGCTGTCACCAAGAAGTCTTTTTGACAGCCTATAGGGAACTTGCCCTCATCTTCCTCTATTGATCAAACTAGGAGTCTGTCCTTCAATATGTGAAGGAAATTCACATTTCTCTCAATTCTCAGATAGAAAAAATGGAGGCTGATCTAAAGAAGATGCTAAAGAAGAAAAAGAAGTCTATCCAGACAGAACCTATTGATCAAAACGTAGTGCCTCCTACAGCTCCAATTGCTCATGTTGTCCCTTCTGCTCTTGCCTGCTGAAGATGCTGCAACTGAAATTCAAGATGAAGAATAGGCTGATCATGAAGTTGAAGAAGAACAAGTAGCTCGTAAAGATGAGAAAGACACTACTCATGAAGATGACCAAGAACTTGCTGATGAAAAAGAAAAAGCTCCTAAAAATGCAGCTGCTCAAACATATTCCCATGTGCGCATTGACAATGCTCCTCCAATTCAAGATGAAACTACCTATCACCTCCTCTACTGCGGTTCCAAAAGTTCAAGTGGAGGACTCTCACATCACCATCAATGCCCCTCTAAAGTGCAAAACCAAGAGGAAAGCTGGTCGCTCTTCTCTACCCTCTCGAAAGTCTTGAAGACTTATGAACAAAAAGGGGAGTAAGAAGCATAAGGGAGTGACTTTAGATTTTTTTTTTTTTTCTAAACTTTGAACTGTTATCTCTCCATAGGAGAGTTTGTTATTTGTTTTTACTGTTTGTGTTATGTTTCTGCAAAACTTAGTTAGTTTATCTTGATACTTTTTTAACTAACCTTGAGTTTTGCATTTATGTTGTTGGTTCTTTTTGTTTGTATGTTTGTTTTTCAAATCTGCAGGTTTGATTGGTTAATTGGAACAGGTTTGCTTAGGGGTGATCACGGGTTGCGGGTAGAACCGGAACCTACGGGTAGAACCAGAATCGGCACTGTGCGGGTAAGTTCCGGTTCCATTTTATTGGAACCAACACTGTGCGGTTCCGGTTCTTATGTATGGAGGAATCGGAATAGGAACCTGGAATAAGAACTTGAAACGGGTACCCGATTTGGAACCTGTAGCAGGTACCCGATTTGGAACCTGTTTGGAACCGATTTTTGAAACCTGTTTTGGAACCTATTTTGGAACTTGTTTTGGAACCTGGGCTCCAATGAAATATTTGTGAATAATGGGGGGTTTCATTATTTTACATATAAAAAATTTTAAATAGAAAAAGTTAAAATTTTAGAGTAACCTAATTAAATAAATATACAATGATACTTATTACATATAAACTACACCATATTAAAAACTTTAATATATTAATATTAAAATTTTGATAATTAATTGTATAATTAGAATTAAGATCCAATTAAAACTGTTTTAATGTTATTAAAAGTGTTTTAATATTATTAAAAGAATCATTTTTTAATAAAATAGTATATTTGATTGAATAATAATATATTTAGTTATTTACTTCAATTATCAAGTTCTAAGTATATCTATAGTAAATTAGCAATTCATTAATTATATATGATAAATTGATAAACATTAATAAATTTAATTACTAGTTAAATATCATACTTAATCAATTATAACATTACATTATAATTAAATGATTACTTAATTAATTATAATTTTATAACATTACTTAATTGATTTATAGTATAATTAATTATAGCATTAATTAATTGATTACTGCTTAATTAATTGACTTATAACATTTAGTATATTACTTAATTAAATAATTAGAAATTCAATTAATTATAGCATTACATTATAGATTTATAGTATAATTAGTTAATTACTTAAGTAATTATAACATTTCATTATAAACATTAGTACAATACTTAATTAAATGATTAAAAATTTAATTAATTATAATATTACATTAAAGATTTATAGTATAATTACTTAATTCACTATAACATTACATTATATTATGATCACATAATTAATTATAACATTACATAATTAAATAATTACTTAATTGATTATGACATTATATTATAAACATTAGTAATTAATAATTTGCTATATAAACATTAGCACAATACTTAATTAAATTATTAGAAATTTAATTAATTATAACATTACATTATAAATTTATAGTACGATTACTTAATTAACTATAACATCACATTATAATTAAATGATTACTTAATTAATTATAATATTCTATTATAAACAAATTAATTATAATATTATATTAAAGATTTATATATGATTACTTAATTCATTATAGTATGATTACATAATTAATTATAATATTACATAATTACATGATTATTTAATTGATTATGACATTATATTATAAACATTAATTATAACATTACATTATAAACAAATAATTATTTAATTAAATGATTAGAAATTTAATTAATTAAGCATTATATTATAGTTAAATAATTACTTAATTAAATTATAACATTATTATATTACATTATATTATGATCACTTAATTAATTATAACATTACATAGTTAAATGATTACTTAATTAGTTATAAATTTATAACATTATATTATAAACATTAGTAATTTACTACATTATTACATCACTTAATTAAATGATTAAAAATTTGATTAATTATAACATTATATTATAGAGTTATAGTATAATTACTTAATCAATTATAACATTCTATTATAGATTTATAATATTATTACTTAATCAGTTATAACATTTCATTATAAACATTAGTATATTAATTAAATGATTAGAAATTTAATTAATTACAATATTAAATTATAGATTTATAGTATGATTACTTAATTCATTATAACATTACATCATAGTATGATCACATAATTAATTATAATATTATATAATTAAATGATTACTTAATTGATTATGACATTATATTATAAACATTAGTAATTTACTACATAAACATTAGCATAATACTTAATAAAATGATCAGAAATTTAATTAATTATAACATATTAACATTACATTATAAATTTATGGTACGATTACTTAATTAATTGTAACATTACATTATAAACAAATAATTACTTAATTAAATTATTACGTAATTAATCATAACATTATTACATTACATTATATTATGATCACTTAATTAATTATAGTATTACATAGTTAAATGATTACTTAATTAGTTATAAATTTATAACATTACATTATAAACATTATTAATTTACTACATTAGTCATTAGTACATTACTTAATTAATTATAACATTACATTATAATTAAATAATTACTTAATTAATTACAATATTATTATATTACATTATAAACAATAACAATTGATGACATTTAATTAACAATTTACAGATGAATAATTGTTTGTGTCTTTGTTTTAATTGAGAAATTTTATGTGAATTGTAATGAATTGATTGAATACAAGTGTTTCCTAGAGATTAGAAGATTTATGAGTTACATTGGACACAAATGAATGAGTAATCAAAATTTGTTAGGGGTGTATTTGTAAACTTTTAAGGTATTTTTATCATTTTTTAAACTAATAGGGGATAATTGATTTTTTTACAAGGTACCCGGGAAAGGAACCGGAACCTGCATTTTAGGTTCTGGTTCCTTGAATTTAAGAACATACACTATGCGGTTCCGGTTACTTTTTTTGGGAACTTGGACTGTGCGATTCCGGTTTCGGTTCCCCCGAAAAATGTAGGGTACTCGGAATCGCTCACCCCTAGGTTTGCTCTTGATCTCTTTTAGTATGTTCTTTATTCATAAGTTTGACAAAGAAGAAGAATGTGGAATATTCATATTTGTCAAACTTATGAGATGTGTGTGCACAACAATTATGTGTGTACACTGGTTGCCAATCTTATGATTTGGCTTGTTTCCTTTGTCGTGTGTGTGCACATCAAATCTATGTGCACACTGATTGTCAGACTTATGTCTTGGCTTGTTTCGTTTCGACTGTGTGTGCACAACGGTTTGTGCTTACACTCTCGCTTCAGATATTTGTAACCCAACAAAAGTTGCATGTCTGATAAAGTGAAAAAGATATTGTTTATCTTTGTCTCTTGCATTTTAGGACTTTTTTACATATGTCATAATATCCTTAAGTGGTCTGAGAGAATAAAGTTATCTTTCCCGATTTGTTTTGTGATCCAAACCAAAAGAAGGAATATTTTTCTTATTTGGACAAACGTTTGTCAGTCCCTTGTTGGCTGACTTGACACTATATTGTTGAGCAAAAAAACCTTCATTGTATAATCTTCTTTCTTGCATTTATAAATCTAACCTTTTGACATTTTGTTTCATTGTACTCTGAATTTCTTAGAGTATTCTTTCTCTTATGGTTCAAGGTTCATTTCTATTGTGTGCCAAAACCTCACCATATCAAACATAGACTTGATGGCTCTTGGAATGTGGTTCCTTTGTTGATGTTGGTGCGTGGCGTCGGTGTTTGAAGCTTGGTGGTTCACAAGCTGTTCTCAAGTGTGTTCCCAACGTGAAGAAGATCCAAGTAGTTGCTACAAGTTAAAGATTCAGAGTGTGGTGCTAAGTGTAAAGTTGAACAGGGAGTTCTTTTTACTGTAACTTAGATAAACTTTGAACGTTATCTTATAATGTGTTTTTGACTTAGTGGATTGCTTCGATCTAGACAAGGTCACATGGATGTAGGCTAAAATGGAATTTATCCGAAGCATGTATATGGTTATGTTCTTTACTTTCCACATTTGTGTTTGATATTTTTACACTGAAAATGTCTTAATCTACTTGATAAATATTCCACTGCACTTTAAAATGGGTACCTAAATGTTAAATAGAGTTCACTTAACTCCAACACTCTCTAAAAGGTTATTTTAAATATTGCTCTCGAGATTTCAAAAATTATTAATTGAATGTTAGGTTTGTGCATATTCTTCAAAAAAATCATTTTTTGTGTTTTGAAAATTAGTCTAAAATCACTCAAAGTTTAACGGGGTTCAAAATAAATGGTAAAATGAAAATTTTCACTATTTTTTAAGGGAAAAATTGGAATTAGATGTTAAAGTGGTGAAAATAATTTCTATTTCAACCCCACTATTTGAATGACTAAATGTCAATCCCATTTGTTTCAAAAATTAACATATCAACTCCTAGTAGTCAATCTCAAACATGTCAATTTGTGAAAAACAACTTCAAACCAATTAAAAATTAAATAAAAATAAAAGGTCTTTGATTACCCATATTGCATCCGGTGAAGGTTAAATCTTTATAAGAGAAAGAAATTTAATATACAAAAAGAAGTAAATTAACCCATTAAAGATCATATGAAAAATATTTAAAAAGGGGAAGGCAAAATTTAGGTATTAGATTGAGCATGATAAGGCAACAGTTGACGTGGATTTTACTTTGTAAACTAGTAGGTTTCACTCACTATTGCTTGTTGTCTCCCAATAAATTAAACAAATTTTGTCCAAGTCCTACTTTTTTGTCATTTCATGTATCCTATAGCATGGACATAATGATGTGTATATTTCTTATTCTCACTCAAAAGTGGATCATCACCGTTTACAATACTCTTTTTTAAGCTTGATTACTAAAAGTTAAATAGTTTACTGTACCCATCTCTATCAATTTAAATTTTGTTGGGAAATCAAAGTAAAATACCTACTAATCTGATAGTTAGTGAATGTGGGATCCTAACATTCTACCATGTTTCTGAAGCCAACACCCATAGCGGCCCATCTTCGCAGCTAGGTGACTTTGCGGATCCCACTCGTTTTCAAACAAGCTTGTAAAAAGAGGGAGCCAATGGGTTAATAAACCCCTGACTAATCTCATATTTAGTGGATGTGGGATCCTAACATTCTACCACACTTTTGAAGTTGACACCCATAACAGCCCATCTTCCTAGCTAGGTGACTTCACAAATCCCGCCCGCTCACGAGTAGCAGCTCTCCACATTGTCCATTACGATGGCCTGTTACATGTGGTGGATAGCTCTGATACCAATTGTTACAAACCCATAGGGTAGAAC